CCCACCCTGTACAAGAGCCTGGGTTATCCGGTCCCTTTTCGGGCCGGAAGTTAGCACGGAAGTACTTGCCTATTTTTATCTACCAGCTCCTGTATCAAGTATTATTCAATTTTTCGTAACTATTATTTAATGCATCACACCCACGTCTCAGATTTTCTATTAGGGTTTAATGTGTTCACTTACCTAGCGTTGCTCTTTTTGAAGAAATATCAAAAGCTCAGATTTCATTTAAAATAAACTACAATTCCCAAGCAATAGTTACCACTCACTGTCTTTATTTTGGACATTTTATTAATTATTAAACATTGATAAACATTATAAATTCCCTGCCTAGCAACAGGAATAATGAACTCATTATTGTAAGGCATCAATGATTGGCCGATTTTAATATTCACTGTGATTTGTACCAATAGGGTTTTAATTTGGTAGAAGGCGATATTTAAAATTGATAAAAAGTAAGGTTAACTATTTGACATATGTCAGATTTTATTTATTTATTTTTAAAAATTATATAATTATCCACCTATTGGAGGAGTAAGTAAAGTATAGTATTACATACATTATAATATACCTACCATTTTTATATTATTTTGATAATTTAATATGATATTTGTTTTCAGACTTAACCATAGAACGATGATTCCGCTCTCTATTTGCAGCTTTCAATAAATTTAATTCTATTAATTAAACCACCCTTATAAACCCTGAGGGCATAATAAAACGCAAAGGGCACGCTTTAACACTCAGTCATAATTAATAATAATTACCCATCCGAAATTTTCGGGTACTTTCAACACATTAGCCCCCCAAATTAATATTAATTACTGTAATTCTTGTACTAAGACAATTAAACAAAACTTTTAAATAAACATTCAATTAAAAAAATAAACAAATTTTGGTTACCTAGCTTTTTAACTTTAAGAAACTTGCTCTAGGACAAGTCAAAATAAAAATAATCCCACGATTGAAATAAAAAATCATTAAGGGGCAAAACAAAGAGTTTAAGGGGTCGCCTGTTTACATTCAAAGTAGCTACTTAATGACTAAGTAGCAGGCTGCGTTAGATGTCTGTTTTCACCGAACGGCAAGCCACAAAATAGCCTAGGTAACTATTTTAAAAACTCTAAAAATAGAGTAAATGCCTATCTTAACCCTTCATTGCATTTAAATCCCTTGAACCGTCTTTTACGTGCCCAACCTTGCCTTGAAGGGCCATCTGCAAGATTTATTCTTGCGCATCTGCCGTTTCGTCGAAAAAAATAAAAAAGTATTATGTGCCGGCTAAAACTTAATTTGCCACCAATTGCACGCTGAAAAAATATTATTTCTTCGAAAATATTCATTACATCTCGGTTTGCATTCCCACAAACCCTGTACCTATATCGAATTACCTAAATAAGTTATCATTCTTTCCCCACTCGTATATTTTTCATTTAAGTATGTTGAATTAAAACAACGCAAATAACCTTTTAAAAACACCCTGTACTGTACTGTACGTTATAGCACTTGTTTTTTTATATTTTTAACCTACTGTATATAAAAACAGACCAAATAACAATCATCAGTAATTCAAAGTTGCACCATCTTCTTAATACACCCTGTGTATTAATTTGTTGCTATAGCTTTCCTTATTTCCTTTTATACCCTTTCAATATAAATCATGAACCATGCATAACCTACTGTATATAAAAGAAGACAGTCATTAAAAGTTGCACCATCTCCTTAATACACCCTGTGTATTAATTTGTTGCCATAGCTTTCGAACTACTTGTATTATTTCCTTTTTTACCCCTTCAATATAAATCATGAATTATGCATAATCTACAGTATATAAAAACAGACAGTCATTCAAAGTTGCACCATCTCCTTAATACACCCTGTGTATTAATTTGTTGCCATAGCTTTCGAACTACTTGTATTATTTCCTTTTTTGCCCCTGAAATACAAATCATGAACTATGCACTGCCGGAGCCACATCATCTACAAAAAAATCTTGCATAATAAGTAAAATTAAACTAATAATCATTGATGATGATTTCATATTTGGTTCAATTGTTATTTGACTGTCGCGGTGTAAGGATCGTTTTCTTAATTTATTTACGTAGTGTTGATTTTTAATATAATTTATTAGTTTTAAATTTAATTTAATACTGAATTTTATTATTTTATACGAGAAAAATTCTAACCGTTAACAATGCTAAAATACTAAAACCTTTGACAAGATTTTTGTGCCACAGAAAGGATATTTAAAAAAAATGTAAGTAAAACCCTAATATTTTTATGCAGTTACTTATTAGACACCTATTTTAATTTGTTTAAATTAAATTTACAAAGAACTGTTTTCCTGGAGAATACTTATCGTATGTTATGACAATAAAATAGGTGATTAAAAAGTGAAACTAATATAAGGTACACATTGATGGTTTTTGTACGTTGAACCATTTTAAATAAATAAATAATTTGACTCGAGATCAACAATATTACAAGCCATAAAGGCACCAATAGCAAATTGAAACAATGCCATCGAACCCATTGATAACTCTCGATTAGGTAACACGTGCGCATATTTTTTTCTTCACATTACCCGCACACATCGTGCGCACTTAGTTTATGGGGTGAGCGGTAAATAGATTCAAGTCGAGTCTATAAACACGACGACTATACTACCCTTCCGAAAAAACAAACAGCAGCCGGGCAATCATTATAATTATCCATTGCATCCGGCACAAGTTCGGTAAAAAAATGTTTCCAATAGATTTTTTTCGAGAAAAAAAAGATTTAACAACTGCTTTAACAGCATTTCAAAAACAAACCTATTAAACACTTTAAAATAAACCAATAATGCTCAAAATAAAATTTCAATTAAAGTCCAAATTCGAGGTTATGTTGTGGCATGTTTGCATTTTTAAATACAATAATAATTTTGTATTTAGTCTAATAATATATTATTATTTATACAGGGTGTTTAGTTTTCTCGAGTATTCTAACTTTTAGATTTTACTATTATTTGTGTTTTCTTAGAAAATTACGATTTTAAGAATTAAATAATTAAAAAAAGCTCTTTATGAAAGCAAATAATAGGATATTATGTATCATTTTAGTTACGAGTTTTATTGGGCACGAGCGAAGCTTGCGAGCGAGTGTTTAATAAAAACGAGTGTCTAGAGAAGTTTATCAAACTGGTTGCATACTATAATTTATCTACGACGTACAGAAATAAGAATATAAAGCCAATTTTATTTCAATAAATATTTGACATTTAAAGAATTTAACCTCTCTTTTTCGCAATTTATAATAAAGCCAACTTCAGCCCGTGACTTAAATGCCCAAAAGCCATTGTTGTTACAGCTCATCAATGTAAGAGTAGATAATAGTATATTATGTATCAAGTTTTATAAACGCCATTTTAGTTACGAGTTTTATTAGACACAAGGGATGCTTGCGAGCGAGTGTTTAATATAAACGAGTGTTTAGAAAAGTTTATGAAACGAGTTGCATACTATACTTTATCTACGACGAACAGAAATAAGAATTTATATCCAATTTTACTTCATAAATATTTGACATTTGGCGAATTTAACCTCACTTTTCTCTAATTTTTAATAAAGCCAACTCCAGCCCGTGACTAAAATGCCCAAAAGCCACTGTTGTTAACTTCAGCCTGTGACTAAAACGCCATAAAGTCAAACCTCGTCAATGTAGGAGTAGATAAACATTATTAACAGTAATTATGCAATAATCAAGTTGATGATGAATATTTCAGAAAATAATATTATTTATTATTCAGTTGAATTTATTAATAAGTTATTAAAATTATTTTTAATTGTTTCGAGTAGTTAAACGCTTAATACAATTAAAATTTTATTAAAATCTTGTGTGCCTTGCTGTGTTATTAAATTATTAATAATATAGTATACACTAATCAACATTTATATAGCACCACAACAATAATTGATATGAAAAAACAACATGGTTCTGATTTAAGAAATTTATTTGAAAATTTTTATAAACTTTATACTGTCCTATATTTTTTAATTACATTAGCATACAGGGTGCACCAAGTATCCTTCTATGTGTATTTTTTTATTTGCATTTGCATATTAAATTGAAAATTGAAAAATACAACGGTTCTCAAAATATTTGAAAAAACTTATTTCAAACATTTATCTACAATTTTTCGCGTCTATAGTTTGAGTTACCATCACCTGTTTTAGTTTTTACAATGGTCGTCATTACTTACGTAGTAAGTTTTTATTTCAAGTTTTAAAAATTGTGACCAAAAAGTATTGCCTTCTATAATTTATGTAATTGGGTTGATGCTCTATGACGAGAAAGTTGTTAATTAAAAAAAAATTTTTTTTGAACCGCTGATTTTTTTCAAATTTTCAAATGCCTAACTTTTTTCTAATTTAACCGACTCATACTTAGAAGGATATGTAGTTGGTCCACCCTGTATGTATAATTAAAATTAGTTGGTAAAATTAATAAGTAGGGCAGTAATAAGGTTGTCGGTAGCTAAGGGTGCATGGGGATCGCGATAAGGTGTTTTAAAGAGCGAGTAGATGTGGGACTAGGTCATATCGCAAATATTGGCGGTGTGCGGGCGGGGGGGTTGTTGTCGTATGATGGGGTAGGTGGGTAATGAGTGACGTATAGGTGCGTGGAGATGGTATAGGTTAGGTACGGTACTACCCCCTGGCAGCCGGTGAGCAGCTGCTTTTTGTCGACGGTCCCTCATATTAAAAGCGAGCACACCGGGTGGTTGGGCATTTGAGGGTAGCAAGCGCGCGAGCGAAGTAGTAGTACAGAAAGTACGAGAAATAAAACGGTATAAAGTAGTGCATGTTGTATTTTGTGAGTGGAGTAGTGGCACATCGTACCCCTTAGAGCGCTCCCCTCCCTTACGGTAGAGACGCTTTGAAACCACACAGCAGACGAGCTTACTTGTAAGTCCGCGAGAAACCAGTTTACATCTGACGCTTTAAGGCTGCGTATCGGGCGGCCGTTTCAATAGTCTCTTGGATAAGATACGTGTGCTTTGGCTTTGAGAATTATTTTAGCGCTCGAAATAATTTTTGTGTTTCATTTAGTGAAGTGACAACAACTGACACATTGATTACATTAAAATTTGCATGTGCTGTGCTTTCTTGTGATTACCATCACTGTGTACCGGCAACAAAATTTTGTTTGTTGTTCTTATTAATTAAAGTGAACTTGAGTGAGTGTTCTGACGATTGTCTATGGCGTGGTGTTGCAGATCACCTTTGAGGTAACAGCACTTGGAAGCTGCTGAAGTCCAACAAAATTTCATCCACCAACATGTCTTGGATACTATTTACTCTAGTCTGGCTGCTCTTTGCCATTCACGAGGTAAGTGTTGCATGTTTTTCTTATTTTCCACACCGAACACGTTGTTCGCTAGTTCGCCAAAGACACTGAAATTTTGATACATGGTCAGTGTCTTCTTGTATGTTTCGGTTTTATTTCATTGCTTAGTCACTAGTAGTCAATCCGTTTAAAAGGTATATTTAGAATGTTTAGGTATTTCATTTAAATACCGAACACGCTACGTTACCGGCTTTCGAACAAAAACAAACAACAAACACTCGACGACAAATAAAAATAACCTTTAATGAAACCTTTGTGAAAAATCTGACTGACGGTGAATAATTATTAATTATTAGGCCGAAAGTTCCGGAGTCTTTGAATTACGACTGAAATCATTTTACAACGAGGTCGGCAAAGACGATTCGGGAAAATGCTGCACCGGCACAACAATTGGGAACGAATGCGATGGCCTTTGTCGTCCACGATTTCGTATATGCCTGAAGGAATACCAAGCCAAGATTGACACCAACTCGCCTTGCACCTTTGGAGACGTTATCACCGCCGAATTGGGACCGAATCCAGCGACTGATACCCCGAAAAACGGATTCCAAAACGCTATCGCATTTAAATTTCCATTCACCTGGACGGTGAGTTTATCTTATATTATTAATTTTAATCTCCAAAACATCTAAATGAGCCCATTGTTTTGACAACAGTTCTTAACGACATTAAAGTTTTACCGTTGCATAAATAGTAAGTAAATAAGTAAATATTATCCTCTTCACCAAAGTGGACAAAAAATTGACATTCGGTCGAAAGGAGAACTGCTGCGCAAAATAATGAAGTGAATAAAAATAGCCTGCTCTTCTTAGTAGCTAGTTTATGTTGCCACCTGCCCTGTTCACGAAAAACGATGCGGGCTGCCCTAAGGCCAAGTTTACGTCAAATTGTTTACCTCCATTCAGCGTTCAACGTTACCCCATTTCGATTAAATGTCTTTAAAGGCGCCTGAATGTTTATCAATAATATTGTAAATAAATATTCACTAATTATGTTTGTGGTAAAGTACACATTTTAAAACACGTTGTCTTGGTTGATTATTATTGCCTCGACTGTACCATTTCCGTTGAACGATTTTGAAGCATCTTATACATTCTGTCTCGAGCAGGTATCTGCCGTGGGAAACTCGCACAAATTCGAAATTAATTATAATAGATTTATTGATCAAACTTATCATGTCTTTTTATTCTTCTCGTTTCGCGCACCGCAACATTTATACTTTCCTTCTAAACGTCTTTTTATCATTCCATATTATATTACATCATGTTTACATTTTTTACATGACGTCTCATTTTATCTCTTCTTTAGAAATTGCTACTTTTACTGCTTTTCCTGTTATTAAAACTGCGCTCGTTTTTCATTATATAATTTATGATTTTAATTGTGTTCATATGATTCTCCATCAATGGGATCTTTTGAGGAAAAATAATCTATAAATAAATATTAAGTGTTATGTCAGCACCGCGCATATACATATTTAAAAAGCGCGAAAGCATAGAATAAACAAAGTTAATTAATTATGAAATTCAGTATGTAACAATAATAAGGAATTTAAAAACTTTTACGCTGGATAAAATTCTACCTCGCTAATACCATAAAAGTTTTGAAAGCGTAACGTCATGCATTTTTGAAGTATAAATTTTAATATATTACGATTTTACATGTTGCGGTAAAAATAATTATTACAATTCGTTTTATTAACGTCAGATGTAAAGAGGCCCAGGTTCTGACCGGTTCTTGTTTACTCTGAATATGGATTTTATTATTAATTAAATTGCATTGAACGATGTTGTGAATAACGAAGAAGTGCAAAAATTCGATCACACTATTTATTGCATGCAGTCATTAGACCATCTTCACTGCAGTGAAAGTTGGTTTCTCTTAAACGTAAAAATCTTACAATTCCCCGTTTTTTTTTGCAGGGCACCTTCTCGCTTATAATCGAAGCCTGGCATGGAAACACATCAGGTAAGTCGCAATGAAAAATTTCTCTAAAAGTGGAATAGTCTTTGTCTGAAAATGTTAGCAAAGATAAATTTGATAGATATTGTTTGCTTTGCAATTTTGAATGCCATCTATGGCTTTAATCAGGATATACTTTTAAATCTAAATAAATATATCACGCTTATAATGTATATAAGGCACATGTTATACAGCTGTCAACTCTTAGCTTACCAACAGAACCAGCCCTCTTCCTGATAAATCTAAAAGGTTCTTCCGCTATATATATATAATCTATATTTCTCTGTATACTACTACTGAGCGCTTCTTCATTCTTTAAGGGAAAAGCGATTCTCACGGCCGAAATTTTACGACAACAAACATTGTAAATTCCAATATTTACCACCATATAAAATGTAATTTACGTTTACCTCTGCGCTGTTTTATTATAATGCACGGCGCACACATAAATATTTAATTCATTGTCAATGGTAACGCGTAGATAAACAAATAGTAAACATTTTCGTGTATAACCGTTTTGGCAAAGTACGGATAATTTTATTGTAGACTGTACTAGGCCAGGTGCTTTACTATGCGACCGTTCCTCTTCCCCTACCCGTTTAGCTTTTGGGCCGTTCAACTGCTTAGTTGACAGAAAATGATAAATACATTTTATGGTCCCCTTTTACCGATTATGTCATATCACCAGCCCTTGCTTGCGTACCTTAGAAAAATATTACAGAGAATTCATTATTCGCTATATCGTGTTTGAAATGCAAAGTAAAAGGAATTCATTTATATTTGTATATATGTATATGTATTTCTCTTTCTAAGGTCGCTAAGAAAAGAAATATTCAATCCAATACACACAGCCTGCGAGTGTGTACGATACCAGTAAAATAAATAGTCGAAGCTGGACAGGTTCTTTAATTAACGGTTAGTTGTTAATAAAAAGATGGTCCCTTTAGAAATACCGATGCTATAGCAGAGACAGAAAAAATTCTTCTGTAATTATTTTTCCTAATAGCCACTCTCAAAATTTTATAATTAATATCATAGTTATGTTGACATGTAAGAATTCTTTTCTAAAGTTGAAAAAAATTTAGAAAATAAAGTAATAAATTACATGGATGATTAATATAAATCTCTGCATACACAAGAACAGGTATCTTACATTTTTCGTACGTATACAATATAACGTGTGAACCTTCTTAATTAGTTCCTATATGACCGTTTATATTTTATATATATATATATATAATACAAATCATTATCATTTAATGCACGACAACTCCAGAGAATTTCCACATTAACTTCCTTCATTGCATAATTCCCATCTTCTATATCATGCATTCAATAAAAATTAATTTATTTATTTTTACTGTCTTGGTTCCTTGGATTGTTTTGGGCGGCCGACTTGTTACACAATGCTCTGTGCCGGATGTCCTGTCTTTTTTATTTTCTCCCCCAACTTGTGGAATATTATCTTGGACTTCCTTTCTTTTACCCTTTAAAAACAACACCTGAGATTTCACCAAACACTACTCGTATAACGACGTTATCTTTCCCATTGAATCAGTCCAGTGACAATTTATCGCGTTTATTAGTTAATATATTTCTACCTGAGCCATTTCTTTTTTAATTTAGATTTGAATCTGTTGTAAATGAGTCAAAGTTGGGTTGTATATTAAAGGTGTTTTCTTGAGTACAGCCTCACCGGATACAGCTGTATACTGCAAGATGCCAACCTTATGCACCTGCATTATATTTCTTCTTTCGATCACTCGAATTTACTTTCGAATTTCATCCGGCGAGTTACGAAAAATTCAACGCAAACAATATCGAAAAGACCGATTCTATTTTTACCCGAAACTCATGTTTATTGCAGTATTGGTGAGTCGGCTGGCAAAACAAACGTGTTTGGATGTGAGCGACGAATGGACGAAGGACAATTTAAAATCCAAATATTCCACGTTGAAATTCGAATACCGCGTCACTTGCGACCTAAACTACTACGGCAAGGGGTGCGAAAATTTGTGCCGGCCTAGAGACGACAATTTCGGCCATTACAGCTGTTCGCCGACCGGAGAAAGAGTCTGCCTGGCCGGATGGACAGGAGAATATTGCACGAAACGTAAGTATCCACTAACCACCGAAAAAACTAGTCACGTAAACAATTAATGTCGGAGTATCGAACATAAAAAAATCCCTCCGTTTCTATTCGAGCGTGTAAGTAGTCTAGAATAGTTGGAAGAGTTAAAAGCGTTTTAAAAGAAAAAAATTACGAATTTCGAGCATAAAAGAAGAAAAAGTTCGACCGCGAGTGCAGAGACGTGAGTAGTCAGCTGCTATTGCCAAGCGCTCTTCCCACGATCACAGCATACCTGTCTCTATACAGGGTGCATTTTAATATCGCGTTTAAGCCATCATTCAGAATTAATTATCTTTCGATACTTAACATTAATTAACACAATGTTTATAGCCTAGATTTTTGTACCGGTGAATACAAAGTGTACTTTATTGCGAGACTTGCAATACCTACCTAATGTACAGGGTACATTGGGAAGTCAATTAGTGCGTTGAATTAATGTTATTTGTTTTTTTGTTACAGCCCAGTGTCTGCCCGGTTGTGATGAGGTGCACGGTCATTGTGGGAAGCCGAACGAGTGCAAGTAAGTAATTTTTGTAATGAAACTGTTGTGTTGATCGATCGTTAAAGTCTCCTCTCCTCTCCGTAACCGAGAGAGCGTTGTTTCTCAAGTGGTGTTTAGCGAGCGGTTTGGGTTCGGTGTTCCGATGTTTATAATTTGAGGTGTATAATTTTAAAGAAGTTGCAGTAAGCTCGGCCGGTCCGAATTAGATAGTTATTAGGGCCGGTCGGCGGCGTTCACCTGGGACGGGATGGGACGATGCTGGGTTTTAAATGTTTCGGTTATTAGCGGAAGAAGCAGTGTGCAGTACGGAGGAGAGTATGCGGATTGGGCCGGCGACCCGCAGGTAACCTTTCCTTGACCTGCATACTTGCCAACGGGCAGCGTGGGAAACGGCTCGGTGGGCGTGTTGCATCCCCGCCAACGTTCCCCGCGGTGCCCGCTTCGCGATCCAAGCTGCAACTCAATGAGCTAACAGCTCCTCGATACAATCCGAATACACTCTCCACCGAACACATGATCAGAATAAGTAACAACAATATGAACCTTCTCCGAACAACGACTCGCCGGACTTACCGGGTATCACATGAACATTCTCTCTCTCTCTCTCTATCTTTTTCTCTCTTCAACCTTCATACTTGCACATTCTTCACCATATCCACTTCTCGCGCATCTCTCTATGCAAAACCATCACTCCGGTACCGTACGCTCGATCATAACCAACATTAACTAGAACAAAGAAAGTCTCTCTCTTTCTCTCTCTCTCCCCTTCGTTCTCTTCTAATAATCGAATCCTTTTTGCAGATGTCAGCCCGGATGGGAAGGTCCTCTATGTAATCAATGCCAGCGTTATCCAGGATGTATGCATGGTAGTTGCGTAAAGCCATGGGACTGCCTGTGCGACGAAGGATGGGGTGGCTTGTTCTGCAACCAAGATCTGAACTACTGCACGAACCACAAGCCTTGCCGTAACGGCGGTACTTGTTTCAACACAGGCCCTGGCAGCTACACTTGCGAGTGCCCTGCAGGTTTTAACGGCACGAATTGCCAATTTCCCGTCGACGATTGTTCCGAATCATCTTGCTTCAACGGAGGTAGCTGTATGCAAGACGGAACTTGCCAATGCCCGCCTGGATTTAGCGGTCCGAAATGCGAAACATCGGCCGATACTTGCAACGATAAGCCTTGCCTAAACGGAGGTTCCTGCACCAAAACCGAATCTGGATACAAGTGCGTGTGCGCCGCTGGATATAGCGGTCACGATTGCGAACACAAATGGAACACTTGCAATCCGAATCCATGCATGAACGATGGCAGTTGCACAGAGGGCAAAGAAGGATTCCATTGCATATGCCCTTCGGGATTCAGCGGGCCAAAGTGCGAAATAAATATCGACGACTGTACCGACAATCCCTGCGAGAACGGAGGAACCTGCATTGACAAGATCAACGAGTTCCGGTGCCAATGCGTGCCCGGCTTCGTTGGACGGCTGTGCCAAGACCGCGTCGACTATTGCAAGACGATACCGTGTGCCAACGGTGGCACGTGCTTCAAACTGATTAACGACTATAAGTGCAAGTGCGCGCCCGGTTTTTCCGGAAAAGACTGCAGCGAAGAGGTCGACGAATGCCGGAATCAGCCTTGCCAACACGGCGGTACCTGCGTAACCGGGGGCGGCACCAGCAACGGCTTCGAATGCATCTGCCCGCCCGGCTTCATAGGTCGCGAATGCGAGCAAATCATCAAGCCCAGCGCAAGAGTATCGCCCGAATCGAACCTTACCACTGAACATGTTGTTGTGATAGCTACTATTTCCACCTTCGTACCATTGGTGGTCTTGGTCGCAGTAGGTGTGATAATATGTCTTAAGCAACGTAGAAAGCGCGAAAAAGCCCGCGCGGACGAAGAGGCGAGACTGCAAAACGAGCAGAACACTGCAAACAGCAGTTTTGCCAAACGCGGCGCCGCGATGTCCGCCGACGCCCACATGATTAAAAATTCCTGGGGCAAATGTACCAATAATGTGATCAGCTCGAATCTATCATCTCCCGACGAGTGTAGTGTGTCGAACATTAGCGTAAACGACTGTGATGGATATCCAAAACCTTTGCACCAACACCAGCACCAGGTCATCGACGGACGGCCTGTGTACACGCTGCAAAGGACCCGCTCTCAGAAGCAGCTCAACACCGATCCCGGTGCTCGTGCCTCGGCCCTGCTGGCCTCCAAACTGCACGAGCCCGACTACGAACACATCAAACGTTTGTCTGTGATGTCAAACGCGTCGGCTGTGTGTGGCTCGAGGTAAGTCGATCGAAAAAGCAACTCTTTTAACGAATCAATTGGCTAATTTTCGTTTGTTTTTTTTTTTGCAGTGATCCTTCCTTGCTGAAAAGGCCGATGGAGAAGGAGCCCAACGGCGTTTATGTGATAGATGAACACTTCCACGTTCCGGACGCGATCTCGTCTGGACTATTCGCCACGGAGGTGTAGTTACTTAATAGTAGAAATGTAGAAAGAAAAGTGAGTATGCATGATGAGTTGAATGATTGAGGTGTTGAGTGAATGTTGACGTCATACGGCTGGTTGACCCGGTCCGCTGTACAGTTATTTATTATTCTCCGGGTTGACGAGTCTAACGACGTAGGTAAAACGTAATTTATATTAAAATTTGGGGTTAGTACCCTATGTCCAAGAAGCCCTCGCCTTTTTTGCGACGCCGCTCCTCATTACGCAAACACTAATAAACCAGTTCATTTCTTCAATGTTGTTCTCTTTTTGTTTATATTGTATATATTTAGAGTTACATTTCTGTATACCCCCTTATTTCTTGTATTTATAGTATGTTGACATTGGCGATTGAACATGGTTTGTAAACCAAAGATTTTCACGTATTGACGAGCCTGCTTTTCAAAAAAGGCGCGGCACTATCTCAAGTAGTATGTAACTAACATAACATAAATTGTTATTGTATTTTGTGATCTATCTAAAATGAACTAAGTCAGCACAGTGTACTTACATCGACTTTTTTCAATATTTATATGTATAAGCCTTTTTACAGAAACTTGCTTCTGATCCTCGTCCTCCTCCTTCCTTTTATCATCACATTCACACCGACTAGTGCGTATTTAATTTAATTTAATTCATACATTCATTCGTTCGTATACGATATCGTGGCCAGTAAATTTGTAGTCCCCCGGTCAGAAGCAATTTTCAATAACAATTTTATATTACTGATGATTAATGATCTCCGCCGATACGGTCGAGATCCTGTGTCTAATTTGAACAAAGAAACAATGTTCCTTTAATTATAAACTAAGTCATTTGTGAATCGATATCATAGACCAACCTCCGTCGCGACGGTTCTTCTATCATGTTGATTAATTTATTCGTTGTACTACTTAACTACTTGGACAAGTTAAAGACTTAATATTGATAAAGACGTTTGTAATATATTATGTATATTTATAGTAATAATGTAAACTAAATGTCAATATTAAAATTGTTCATGTTTCATAATAAATCTTCTGTAGAGAAGTGGCTGTTCCTCAATAATGTTATTTAAATCTTAATAAATTTTTTGTTCTTTACACAAATACTTTCATTTTACCCGAAAAACATCTTTTCAGCGAACACAATGAATGTTCGCAATTTTTCTTAAGAAAACTCGCACACCACGTGTGTTTTATGAGAAAGTTTCCGAAACCTGGTAAGCACAGACCATTGTATACACATATACAACAACCCAACTGGCATTCCTTTTATTTAAAGTCCAGGTGGCATAGGTATAGTTTGCAGCAACTCAAGGCCGAGATAATTTTCACGACAATCCTCCTTATCAGTAACTAAGCTATAGTTACAATACCGAACATTTTTTTACGCATGTCATCACAAATAATGAGAAGATTTCAGTGTTTGGGTAAAATAATTAATTATACAAATATGTTAATGAGCTTATTATATACATTCTGTTTATAATTTTAATTGTTTGTTTTGTGAAGAAAATCTAAAACGGTTTATTAAAAAGGGTCATGAACTCGGATCACTCTAAAATGCCTACCGACCAAGTTTTCGGTCAAGATTTTAATCAATTTCTCCTTATAACCATTGGCTTATAAACTTTATTAATTAAAGAAAGGTAATCGAATAAAGTTGGGATTTTAAAAACATTAAAACGAAATCTCGAGAACGCATCAGAGCTTTATTTATGTTCGTTCTAAGAAATAGGCCTTTTGGATATCATCTCAATACAAACGAAGATTTTAATCGATGATTTTTATTTATACACGGCGTAATTTAACATTCCTTTATTAATCAGCGTCTAGCTTTTTATAGGGCTACCGACGCTGTTCAGGTAAGTTTCGAATGAACGAAATACGATTTTTAAATTGTAGGTTCGGTGAGATCGAAATTAATTTTCATCAATAAAGAAACATTAATTTTAAACTGCGTTTTCAGTTTGATGACCTACCGATATATTTTCTGTTCTGTTAACCCCTAATTATCTTTGAGTTTTTAATTTAAAATGAACTAATATGGGAGTCGCTTGACCACTCTTACCCAACCCCAACCTTCCTGTTAATTATACCATTGTTAAATATCTTTTTCGGATCTTTTCTTTCATACGTGTAGTTAATTTCGATTTTTAAATGGTTTTTGAATCTCGATTTTTTCTTTTCAGACAAAAATGACAAAAAGAGGTAGACAACTACAAATTAGGATGTTTACTTATGGCACCCTTTTTCACTTATTCTCCAATTAGTGGCTATAGGAAAATACAAATCTGGTTCCCAGAAAATATTCAAACTTTATCAATTTATTTTCAGTCGGAAACTATATATAAGTTCACCCAATTAACAAAATTTAAAAATAAACACTCAGACCGAAACTTTTTTGAATAACAAATAAATAAGGAATTTATTTCATTATTTAATTAATTAGATGTGATATCCTGATTAAATAAAAATGTCTTTAATCAATTTAACTTTAATGTATATTTCCTAAATCTCTTAAGTTAAATACATTAAAAAACAAAGTCATTAATCATGTCTAATATCTTATTTACTCAAGCTTTACTTTTACACTTGATTTTTTAAATCAAATTTAAAAAAACTAACCTACTAAACTACGATATAATAAATCATCTCGAAGACAATACTTTTTTACAGCTGAATTAAAATACAATCTAATTAAAAAAAACATATTTATTATATTATGATTTTCCTGAGAAGATTTTTCAAATACGACTATGACCTAGATCGAATTAAAAATCGTAAAAATCACATATAAATTAAGATTTATTTTCCACAATAAATAATAGAATAAATAATAAACAGTTAAAAATGCAAAACGAATTAATAAATTTGATTATAAAGTACCTCCAGATGTCTACTTTATTGAATTTTAAACCTGTTTCTTCAAAATTAACATAATTAAGATTAATTTAGACACAACAATTACGAGTTTTATTTATTTATAATTATAATTATCCCCACTCCAAGTACATCTATAAATATTTTAATTGAAGATAAAAATGGCTATTTATAGAAAAGTTTAGAGAAACTTTACAAAATCTTATAAACTATTGAACATTTTTTGACATGTACTATGCATTTTTTGGTGCAAATAGTCGTAATAATATAATTATATATTAAAATGTTTTATGTATTTATATTAGTCAATTATATAAGTACCGTTTTTACGAAGAGTAGGAATTGGTTTTAAGTGAATGCACCATGGAAGAAAATTTAGAAAGAATATTTTTTATGCCATTAGTAATTTTTTGCGGAAGCGGATGCGGAAGTATAAAATCCATAGAAAGTTACAATACACTGCCAATATAAAACATGCAAAAGCCGATGTGAAAAATTGTGCAGAACTTCCGCAGTTGCGGAAGCAGAAGCAAAGGTCTGTTGCAACACAAAAATTCCATCGCAAAGTTCAAATTTTGACAATTAGTTTTAGAGGTTTTTAAAATTGAGTATAATTTTTTTATACTGTTTTCATAACAACCATTTTAGATTATGTAATATATGAGCAAAATTCTTGTGTCCAACGATATTTCTTGAAAACCTTAAGACTGTAGCTTAAAACTATGTTTTCGTTCTTAGTGCAATAGATAATATTTCCCGTCGCCTAGCTACAAGCAGAGTTGCAATACTACTTTCACGTTTAAGAAGCATCTTCGTATTGGAATGTCGTACAATACCAGGCAGGAGGAAGGTGATAAGGCAGAGAGTACAGTACATACAGCCCAACCAATCCCAAGCAAATTCCCTATATAACACAGATACGAAAAACCATCGCCTGAACGGTTTTAAGTGTTTTTTCAAAATTCATCTAGGTTACCAACTACTTTCTTAACTAAAAAACATAATCAACTATTTAGTACCCATTCAATATTATTTTTTTATATTTAAATTCTTTTTTAGTTCTAATTAGAATTTCAGCCATGTAGTAAAATTTGAACAAAAGCTCATAAATTAAATAAATAAAGCGTAGGTATAAAGGAAAATAAAAAAGAAAACAAGAGCAAGTCTGCTTGAATCAAATTAAAATAAACAGTTATAATGGCTGGCAATCTCATAATTATCAAATAAATAGCAGTTATTTAATTAATATAATTTTTTTATAAGACTATTATTCTCTATACCAGAGCCGTATTAAACTTAACAAAATTCAAGAACGAGATACGACGAATCTGCAACTGCGGAAGTTCCGCATCCTTTTTCACATCCGCTTCTGTATCTGGTTTTGCACTTATTTATTGGAAGCTTATCGAAACAACGAAATTGGCGATAAGCACTTAAATTTAGAATATTAATTTAATACAAACAAAATTACAAAAAATTGTAATTTCGCTTTCGCAAAAATTTTCTGTTGACATATGTTTCCGCTTTATACTAACTTAAGTGAACATAAAAGACTTACCAGGATTTATAATGAATGTGAAAAATATAATTAACAACCAAATTAATTAAAAATATTTACAAAAAACCTGTATTAATTATGGGATTATAATTTATAACAGGGTATTAATTAGTAAATCCGTTAAAATTATTATTTTACACATATTAATTGTTTAAGTTGTCCGGATATAGGGGGGCCCTGCCAATGGCGGTAGTTTAGGGGGCAGCAAAACAAACCTCCGAATGTCGATATTTTTAAATTTCACAATCCATAAATTTAATTTTTAATTTAATTTAAAAATAAAAACCAACAGGGTGATGTATAAATGAAAATTATATTAATATAATATATGCAGTATCGATAAGTTTCTTTAAATGAAAAACAGTAACTAAATTGATTTTTTCGGGGATATACCGAAATTCGGGGATAATCCAATGTTGAATTACATTTCCGTCCCTTTGAAAATTTGTAGATCCGGGCCTGTGTTTAACACCCTTTCAGTGCAAACATAACTAAATTTGGTAAGGATTTTGCAAATTGGATAAACATGTCCAGTACATAAATTTTAATATAAAAATTTCTTATCATAGAATCTGATTTATTTACAGATGTAAAGGATGGATGACAAAAAATCGGAAGCTGCGAAGCCAATAAAAGATCGTTTAGTTTAAACGATATGGAAATGAAAAGATAAAAGCCGTATAAATGCTGTTAATAATTACAAAAGGAACCACGTCATGTTTAGACAATGGCCAATATCCCAGGTAAAACTCTGTTTATGAAACTTTTTCTAATAGGCGCCTCAATAGGCTACCATCTGTTGAGATGAACCTTTCCATCTGTGATCCGTTCAAATGTACTCCTTCTTTCAAGTCCTTACAAATGCCTTATCCTTTTTTGCGTCATTTTTTTATCGCGTATCAGCTGTTTTAAGGCGATCTTGGGAACCCCTTGCACATACATAGGTGTGCAGTACCCAAATACTTTTATCTTAGTAAAAGTACTTGAACAATTAATTTAAAAATAACAATTTTTTTTAGTATTTTATGGAATATTAAGCATTTAAATATAAAAAAATTGGCAGCGCGCTGTGTGCGTGTTAAACTGAGATATACACACCGAAAAATTAAACAATTCAAACAAGGTTGACAAATTTGTTTTTAAAATCAAAACTTTAAATTATCATTATTAACAACTTTTTATTTAAAAAATATCTTTCAAACATTTTCGGACACCCTGTATATTAGAAGGATAAAGGATAAATAATTACTTTCTCTATTTAAGTATTTAAAAATATATTTAAAAAAACAAACATTTTAACTTAAAATATTTCACAGCGTAAACCTAAACAAACACCCTGTGTGTTTAAAAAAAATTTAAGACAAAAAGTAATGATTATTAGTGAGATATTTTTAACTCGGATGCCTACAATTATCAGCCCAAACACTTCTCAGCCTAATGGCATAGGTACAACACTTTATACGACAGTTTTGTATTGGTTTTTACAGACTAGGAGGTAAAAAACTTACCCGATTGGTCTAAATTATTTTTACAACCTAGACGATAATCAATCACTTTATTAGTGAGTGTTGAGAATAATAAATTTTAAATTATAGGACGTTTGAAAATAAATACGAATTTATCGGCATTTTAGGCAACTTCCGTATTGAGATTCTTGTACAGTGTGGGTGTTTTATGGCTACAAGCAAAGAAGAAGTCGCTTGTAAAATAGTAATGTAATAATAAACAACTTTCATTTCTAAACTTGATGCCATTTTTGAACAGAACCGTATCAAGTGTTATGTTGGACCCTGTATAACACGAAAATGTCTCACGGGAAAGAATTTTTTGTTTTGTCCTCGACCAAAAATGTTTTAGGCCTTAATTATTAAGGCTTAATATGAAAAGAATTCCAAACATCATTGTTTTTTTGCATTGAATGCTTTTGACAAATTGTTTTGTCTTTGAATAAGTGTTATGACAAAGTTTCACAAGTTTTTTCAATTAAAACAAATTCCCGCAATACCCATTGCATTACTTCACAATCCACACAATTGTGCATTACTTAAGATTACGACTGTACCTACTTTATGTCAATTGATGTATCTACCTGTTTATAAAAAACATTAGAAAGGTTTATACCTATATACAACAAATCATTTATTCGACTTGTGATGTTTGTAGGACGTTTATTATTTGCATATTAAGGAAAGCCGTAATTCTTCTGGTTTTCACACAAATGTGTTTGCTTTTAAGCATACTTTAAACATTCTAATTGCGGTTTATTATTTATATTAAATATTTCAGCTTACCTGTCATAAACTAGTAGCTTCTTCCTATTGCTGCATAATAATTAAACTATTCACTTAATTTTATTACAAACATTTACTTAATTTAAACTTTTGAAAACCAACATGGACACCAAAACAAAATTATTTAAAAACAATTGTTGTTTGAGCTGCTAGCGCCACCTAGCGGTAGTTTGGCGAACCATGAGCGCAGAATTCTTAGGTTTCTGTTAAAAAAGCGCTATAATTTAAAGTATAATTACATATTGATAATTATAAAGTAAAGCAATTTATTTATAATTTATGATTTCTACAGAAGTAATAAGGGGAAAATAAAAGAAAAAGTAGGTAAGTTAACACATTTATTATTAACAAATCACCATAACAAATGATTAAAAAAACATCAGTCCCATATTTAAGAATTAAATATGTTTATTAACTAACAACCTTTTACAAAAACGAAAAACCTTGTACAAAAAACTAATTTATAAATAACATAAATATAAAATTAATTAAATTAAAAGATAATTATAATTATTTATAAAACAAAAGGTAGAATAGCTTTTCTGGATTTTGGGTAGTTGGGGAATTCTTTTTTGTAATTTCGATGTTTTCCCAGAGCCCAAATGGACATTTGGAATAATCCAGCAATACCAAACAAAGCAGCTAAAAAAAATAAGTATTGTGATATCATAAAAACCTGCATTAACAAAATTCTAAAATGCATTGACCTTGAAAATACCATTAATAAATATTTATTGATTGTGTTTATATGAATTAACTGATAAGGTTACATAATAAGTCAAATATTTTACCTGGAACGCAAGAGGTTAACAATGTGAACCCTAACCAAGCTCCAAACTCGTAGGTGTAATTTGGGCATGAAACCAAATCGAACAATTTGGTCAAAGGGTTGCCATTGGGCACTGGAATTTTACGCACTGTAGTGCCTGGAGGGCGCAAGTTACGCAACAAAATATGAATACTCAAATTTCCCATCTCGCTTATCTGTAATTAATAATAATAAATTAAAATAAATAAAATACAGTGCTAATACAATAACTTACAGCAAAGATAACAACGCCCAAAATTTGAAACAAAACCGGTGGTGGTGTAAACAAAGGGTGGTTTGTGTGGTATGCTACATAAACGGCAAAGCCCCAGTAGTAAGAGCAATTTTTAAAGAGATTACGGAGAGGCATAGTTCCATGGGAAAACCTGTGTACGAATATAGTCTCCAAAATTCTTTTGGAATAGTGCACAGACCAACAACCCAATGCAATTCTAAAATAAATTAACGATAAATAGTTTTCAAAATAATAGGGTATTTATTTAAAAAATAATCGCAAATTTTGTTGGCCAAATTCACATTCATTAATTTGTTTTAAATTAGAATCTATCGTTTTTCTTTTGTACCTTGAAAAAAAGGGTGTTAAAATACTACAAACAAGTTAAGTTAATTTAAGTTAAGCTATTAAACTTAAATTAAATTAAATCAAGTCTTAAATTAGGTGCCATCTAAAATTAAATTATTTTCCTGTTGTAAAAAAAATTGTGTTTTTAGTTTTTTAAGTAAACATTGTAGTTTAAAATCTTCTAAGGGGGGTTTGATTGCCCCAAACCCCCCCCGTACGCACGGTCCTGGTTTGACGCAAATTTAAAAAAAATATTCTGGACAATTTATTTAAGAACATACAAAGCTGTTGTGGACAATCCGGTGTTAGGTTCTTGTGTACCATAAAACAGCCATGGTCTATAAGCCACAATTCCATAAAGTACAAGAGGTCCAGCATATTCAAGCAAAAACACTGTGTCCCAGCCAATTTGTGGCCCCAAATCCTTAACGAAAATTTTCCTGGTGTTTTTTAAATTTAAGCTGCCTGCAGTTAAGTCGTCCTTAAGGTCTTTGCCTTTACTTTCCGCCCTCAAAGACTGCCTGTACACAGTTAATTTGGAAATACCAGCAATTTTAGTTTTAATTTCCTTAACCGTTGTGCTATCAGTTACAGAAATATCGCCCAGTTTTTTGTTGCTTGTCGTATACACCTCAATCTAAATTGAAAAAAATAGCAAAGTCATTTTAAATTTTTTTTAAACATTTAAATCCAAACAATATTATTGCTTGTAAATAAATAAAATAACCTAAAAACTTGTAATGTAAAAAATACCACTTACCTGAGACATTTTCCTGTTATTTTGGCAACCCACCAAATTGGAAAAACGTTAGGAATGAACGCACAATCGTGAAACAAGAAAGTTTTAAGTAAAATGAGTTTATGTATGTAAATTTTTACGTCACCGTGTTCGATCAAAATTCAAGGTCAACAATTGATTTCCAAATTGACAGGAAATAACTTATTCCACCAAACATTCCCAGATTATTAAAATTCCCTAATTATAGTAGAAATATTAATATTATCAAAAAAAAACATAAACTATAAATTTATTTTTAACCCTTTTTTGCTTAATTTTTGAAAATTATTTAAAATTCTTATGGTGGCAACCATTTGCAACGTTGCCGAACATTGTATACCATAATTGATAAATCTTTACACTATAAAAGCAAACATTTTAAACCTAATCATATAAAAATGTATTAAATATATTAATGATTTATATAATATCTCTATATAATGCTACAGAAGTATTTTATTGTATATTTAATGTGTAAAGTACACCTAGCAACCTTGCATTTTAGATTGTTGTTCATGTGTCATTTAATTGTCAAATAGTTTTCAAACTCCCATATGTTTGTCAGCTAAAATAATACTTATAAATCAACAGAAACGCGATGTCGGCTCAAAAAAATGTGGTGGTGCGTGAAAAGATTGATAAAATGTCGTCGGAGGTGGTCGATACAAACCCTTACAGGTTAATATTAAAAAAATTGCGTTATATTTTGTAATAGCCTAAGAATTTTAGTCGTTTGATGGCGTTAAAACGCATGGGAATTGTGGACAACTACGAGAACATAAGAAATTACACTGTTGCAGTAGTCGGTGTTGGGGGTGTGGGCAGTGTAACAGCTGAAATGCTAACCAGGTGTGGTATTGGACGACTAATTTTATTTGACTACGACAAAGTTGAATTAGCAAACATGAACAGATTATTCTTTCAACCTCATCAATCAGGCCTTAGCAAGGTTGAAGCTGCAGCTGAAACTTTAAAACACATTAATCCTGATGTTGATATTATGACTTACAACATGAATATCACAACAGTGGATAATTTCGAGTTGTTCACGAAGATTTTAACGTAAGTTTATTGTTATTAACTTTACATTTTGTTAATTTGTGTTTTCAGTACAAGCAATTTAAGCAATGGTCCAGTGGATTTAGTATTAAGCTGTGTAGACAACTTTGAGGCTCGTTTTGCTATTAACTCAGCTTGCAATGAGTTCAATTTAAGCTGGTTTGAGTCAGGTGTCTCAGAAAATGCTGTGTCTGGGCATATACAGTTTATTATACCTGGGGAAACAGCCTGTTTTGCTGTAAGTTTCATTTTATTATTATATTGTTCAATTTTAATAATTTCTTTTTAGTGTGCCCCTCCTCTGATTGTAGCCTCAAACATCGACGAAAAAACATTGAAACGTGACGGTGTTTGCGCGGCAAGTCTTCCAACCACCATGGGTATTATAGCAGGATTTTTGGTTCAAAATACATTGAAACATTTGCTGCAATTCGGACAGGTTACGAATTATTTGGGATATAGCGCCTTAACCGATTTTTTTCCGACAATGTCGCTAAAACCCAACCCTAGCTGTGATGATAATCAGTGCAGGTTGAGACAAAAAGAATATGCTGCCAAACCAAAGCCGGAAGTGGCTGTAGAAGCAAAGGAGGAGGATCAACCTTTCCATGAGGATAACGAATGGGGTATCAGCTTAGTAGATGAGAGTGTGGAGGTTAAAGATAATAAGATTAATGTGGCTGAAGGTGTAACCTTGGCGTATACAGTTCCAAAACAGGAAAGTGTCGAAGAGTGTGAAGAAGCTACATCATCAAATAAAGAGATCAGTTTGGATGAACTTATGGCTCAAATGAAACAAATTTAAGATGAATTGTTTGCATTTATATTGGTTAAATTGTTGTATGTTCTTTTTTTAAGTTAATTTTTTAAGATGTATTTTTAAATTATGTTTTTTAATAAAACGCTTGAAATTAAGTAATTATTGTTTTTGTAATAAAATACAAGATTTGGTTTTAAAATTATATATTTATTCTTTAGAGTCTAAAGTTTAGACAATATACATTTTGGACCATGACTATAAAAATAAAATTCGTTTTTCACATCTAATTCTAGTGGTGTTTAACAATAAAAAAATAAATAAAGCAAAATACAAAAACTATAATAATATAATACAGGCAAGTAAGGCAGTAAATTAAATAAAAAATATAAAAATTGGTCTTTTCAGGAAAATATTCACAAAATTAACATAATTTTACCGTGTTATATCACATGTTGAACTAAAAATTAACTAAAATCAATTAAATTATCTAGAGGTATATTACTACTTTGAGAAATAGCCTTGGTGGATGTGTACGAACTGCTTTGGTAAAAACTTGATTCAATTTGGCTGTAAAATGTCGATGATGAGTTTCTCTCCTTAATTTTCGTTGTACTCCTGCGCACTTCCGTTTTTTGCGAGTGCCTGCTGTTGTTGTAGTCTAATATTGGGTCTTTTCCAGTCTTCATGCTTAGTTTGGTTTTCAAAATGATAAATTGTGACCGCCAATATTCATATGAGGCCATTTTCAAAGCTGACACCCATTTATTAACATCAGTTTCACATCGGCATGCAAATATATGTTTGGCATCATCTTCAGGGAATTTATTGTTCACTTTAAACATTATCGAAAAAGCGAAGTTGATGCCTCTATTGGGACTCTCATAAGCAATTTGAGCATTTTCCAAAACTAAAACCCCCAGGGGCTCCTGTTCATTCAGTCGATAGTAAAATAATAAATTTGAAATTAATTTAAACGTTCTTTCCTTAAATTGCTGCGGTAACAAATCGGTCCAGTCTTTTCCTTGTGGTTTCCTGTGACTTAATATTCCCTCCAAATCAGTTTTTCCTTCCCCTAATTTCGCTATTTCCCGATCATTGACCCTCATTTTTGGCGTGATTATTTAAAGCTTTAATGTCATGTTTACAACTAAATCACTAAACAAACAAAATTCGTCTCATATTTATTTTTGTAGGTATTACAAACAATGCTACTTAAGAAATGCTATTTTTAACTGACAGCCCGAGCTGTCAAATTAAAAATATAAGTGTGGTTATCTACGTTTAGGTGTATGGATATGAAGGTAGAGGGCGCTTTTGTGAAAAGTTCGATTATTGATTGGTTGAGGGGTTTCTGATGGAAACTTTCTATACGTTACTCGTGTTAGTTTGTCTTTTCATTTATAGGTGGCGATTTTACTGAAATATACTTAAAAAAATCGAATTTAGATTTAGATATTTTCTTTAAATTATGTTTGATTAATGGTGAAAAATGATTAAGCATGTTCTTAGTTGAAATTTAATTTGAGGATCTTTGAATAGTGCTACAAGATTTATTGCCAGATATTTTAAAGCACATTACAAGTAAATTTTGGGGTTTCCAAAGTAATCATAAAGTTTTTTTAATTTATTAGTTTTATAAATTTTTGATGATTTGTAAAAATTTAAGGGCCTTATTGAACGTAAATCTATTACTTTATAGGACAAACTTGATATGAAATATAAATCCTAGATGGTGTCATTTACACGTATAATTATGTCTACTATATATCTCGTGCACCCTTCACTGTCATCTGCAAAATTCATCTTAAGAAATTCTTTTCTCTAGGGTTTTCTCAGGCGGAATTTAAAAAGCAAAAAGTCAAAAATTGTTTTTGTAATAAATAGGTATTTTTGGCAATTCAAATCCTTGAATAGATGAGGGGAAACAAAAGAATAACAGGATTAGCCGCAGCGAATAAACGATTTGTAGATTTTATTTAGGTAATTACGTTGTGAAAATCGAAAACAAAGTTTTTATTTTTTACAGATTCTATAGGACAAAGTCTTTATCACCAAGTCTGTTTATATTTCGTTAAACAGGTTGCTATTTAATAAAATAATTTTAAATGAGGAAAATTTATATTTCCGATCCCTAATTAACTTGGGTAATTATAAACCCGCACAGCATCCCTGAGTTCAGATTTTTCTCAGTTTACCTCACGCTGTGATTGCTCATTTACACAATTGTGTATCACCTGAGCTCATGGCGTGAGAAAGAAATCATTTCGTCGGTTAATTTGAAATTATGTGGCGCGGGCATGCGCACAGAGCATTATGCGCGAGTTCAAATAATATGTCACAAATATATAACATATACCTATACGCATGCGCATGCTTTCAGATCTCGCTCATTTGAGCACATATGCGGAGAAACTTAAATGCGTTAGGAGATCATACATGACATTTAATAGACTTGTAATTACTGTAACGTTTTTACTGTTCGTAGTGTGAATTAAAACACGCACTGGTTTATTGACGAACTAAACGATTTATTTTATAACTTAATTACACTTAAAACACTAAGAAACTATAAAACTAACTAAACACTACTAATTATTTATATATCACTACTGTACAAGAGTTTATTTATTTGCACGTATATTTATTTATTTAGTCGCGAGTAGCAAAGCTTGACTGACTGCTCCATGCTGCGCTGTTCCTTATATATTCAGTGCCTACGTGACACCAGTCACGCAAGCACCTTCCCGAATATTTCAGCGAGTTCAACACCACTCTCGATTGTTCGAGCGCTGACTCACCGGCGATGACTCATCATTTCGAGATCCAGAGGGGTACTCGCTACATTACACAACTTTTGTCTAAATTAAATAAGATTCCCGTACATAGAAAGTTCTTGGTGCACCCTGTACCTGTACCCTGTATTTTAACTTAATATGATAAATTTAGTATCACAAATATTTTTATCGATAACATTTGTCATTGTTGAGTGTTTAGTTATTATATGGGTACTTAATATTATTATGTTTATATTATTTAAAAAGTAATTTCTTGGATTATTAGCAACTTTTTCAATTAAATCGGAATGGATAAAAAATGAATATCCAATCTACTTATGATAAACATATCTTATATAAAATCCGGCATAAATTGAATATTACAAATTAAAGGATATAAAGCCGCGCAGGATCGTTTCCAGGATTCTGAATACCGTAGTCTAGATATCGCACAGAACGGCCGTTCAGTCGAAACGCGAACGCGCTACGAGCCTTCCGTAGCGCTTCACACTCACCAAACGATCTACGAAGACGACTCAGACCTTCGCGCTCAAAATCAAAAAGAATCCTCAAGCATTTACGATTTATTCCACTCATATCCTGCCTCTACTCTTTTTTGGTGAGCATTTTTTACCATTTTATTGGGTTTTTACTTTACTAAAGTTTATCTAAACTTTTGTAAAATTTACGAATTCTTCTTTCTGGGCACATTTTAGGAGAAAAATGTATTAAAACGAAGAAATTTTTTTGTTTTGTTTATTTAGAAAAATAATAAAATTAAATAAAAAAACTCTATACACCAGGGTTGTATATACTATATATAATTATTTTTTAGGGTTTGCATTAAATAAAATAGTAATATATTTCAAAAATGTATATACGCGAAACAAAAGGTATTCAAATTTGACCTGACAGACTTTTTAATACAATTCCAGGAAAAATATTGTTTATATTAAAACATTTTTATTTTGATCATGTTGCAAAAATAAAGGGAGAAATCTTGATGTATAAGGCGCCCAAACAAGAAAAACTATTCTTTCCAGATTTCTCATTTATATGGTAATAATTTAAAGGGTTCTAATCAATTTGTATATTCTATCGAACCTTGAACTGAATATACACACAATAGTAACACATTATATTATAGCCGAGCTCAGTGTTCGCTGCCGAGGCCGATGGTTTTCTTCATTTTTTAATTTTCATTATTCTGTATTTACCTACTTACATTTAAATTATCGAATTTGCGACATTTTGCCATGTTTGACGTTTGACATATGTTATATTATGGGGTTATGTTCATGAATTTATTCTACAGAGACCTGTAAGTTGATAATTTCAAGCTAAACGCGATAGATGAAACCATTCTTTCAATGTATTTTTATTATTATACAGCGGCCTATAACTGCGTTTATAGGCTTATGAGTAGGGATGGGATATTTAGGTACTAAAAACTGAAAAATAGGTAACTAAAAAGGTACTAAAAAAAAGCATTTTAGGTTAAAAAACAGCATTTTAGGTAAAAAAAAAACATTAAAAGTTCACGTTTCGTTTAAAATTTTGTTTAGCCGCATACCCAAACACAGAACATACCCACAATAAACTATTTCTATGCAATAAACTGTGTTTCACTGAGTGACACTCACTACACAGAAGTTCTATGACAGAACATAAGCTCACTACAAAGAAGGTAACTGTAAAGAAAGTTACTGTTACAGTCTGTGACCATAAGAAAAAACTCTATACCGTTGAGTTGCACGCCCTGGATAAAATATTGGCGCAAAATTTAAAAAGAACACAAAATAATAAAATAAGTAAAAATACGTAATAATAGGTAAAAAATATGTGAAAATAAACTGACAAATTAAAAAATATGTAACAAAAGTATAAAAAGGTAGTTTAAAGCAAAAACCTCCAAAAAATGTAAAAAAGGTTAAAATAAGTTAAAAAATAGGTACCAAAACTATAAAAAAGGTAGTTTAAAGCAAAAACCTCCAAAAAAGGTAAAAAAGGTGAAAACAAGTTAGGTTCATATAAAAGAAAATCTTTTAAAACACATTTTGGCATTATTGGTTTTCAAATAGTTACATCGGTTGAAAAAAGGTAAAATAACTAAAATCCCATCCCTACTTATGAGTGTTATAATATGAAAATTGTTATACGCTTGAAAAAAAACATATTTTATTTTATCACATGGTAAAAACTAATTGAACTGTTTCTCAAACTAATTTAAATTTAATCAAAAAACAAATAATTTTAATGTAAAATTGATATTTTTATATTTTATCTTTATGGTAATGTAGTGCAATATGGAAAATTGTTTTACATGTATCAAATTTACCATTTTTTAAATGTTTTTAGAAACTACACAAACGATTTGTATGATGAACAGTGGCGGCCCGTCAGGGGAGGCAGTGCCTCATCATAGAGAATTCAAAAATAAGTATAATATTTTACTTTCTATAATATACTATAAATTTTTAATATTTGGATTACATGAATTGTGAAATAGTCAATAAAATTAATTGATTTTATACGTGGAATACCCAGCAACATTTAAATTATTTGAATTTGAAACGACCGCAATTTAAACTAATATTTATAGCTAGATGATTGGCTCAGGAGCATGCCTGAACTAATTTAGACTCACGATTGGCGTTAGCCTTGTTGTCTCGTTCTATTACAATGCGATATCATAGTTGTCTCCTTCTCTCGTATTAGAATACGCGAGGCAGGCACGCCTACATCCAAGGAAATAAGCAGGTGTTGTGGTAACACTGTTGCGGAATTTTAGATAAATTATACTTCACGCGTTTTTCAAAATTTAATAATAAATGGTATTATTTTTCTTATAATAAATCGATTTAATCGAAATTATATTTATATTCTAAAATAAATATATTTTAACACTATCGCCATCTTGTAGCCATCACAGTAACCAATAAAATAAATACAGATTCCTTCTTTAGGTTTTTTTGGTTATAAAATTCTGAACTGTTTAAAGAACAGATCTGTGGTTATTTAGGCAATATTTTGTTTATTCTTTTTCTATGAGTTTGTCTATTTTATGATTCTTTTGTAAGTAGTTTATTCTGTGGGTTTAGTTATTTGAACTTGGTGATTTATGTGAATTTAGTCATTATGGATATTACAGTGACAAATAAAATAAACGTCATTTTTACAATAAAATATATTTCATTGACAAAGTAGATGATTCCTTCCCCACCAAGTTTTTTACTTAGTTTTAAGTATAGGTCGTAAAGTGCGACGTCAGTTTTTTTAAGTTGGGTTTAAAAAAAATTCTTCGCCTTTAAGTGAGGGCGAAACCCTGCCTCTGCCTCACCAAAATGAAATGGCCGCCACTGATGATGAAGTAATCTGTATACTTATGGGAATGATTTAGTATATAAAATATCACAGTACTAGGTACTAGTACTAATACCATGATAAAATATAAAGGTACAAAAAAGTCCGTAAAAAATGAAATATTTAAATTTAGAAACAAAATATAGGTATTCAATTTATGTCAATGTAAAATATATATTTTTATACCAAACTTCACAAAGATATATAAATGTACATATGTATCACATGTATATTTTTAATAAAAGCCCAACACCATTAATCATTATTGATCAGGGCACTATATCTTCTAAAAGGGAAATATTAGGCTGACCTAAAACCAACTTAAATTTGTGTATTCTTTGTGTTCGTAATGTTTTTTATTAATTTGGGCTAATGTTACTAGCATGATATAATTTTAGTTTTGTTTTAACGAAATTAAAAGGCCAATTTAATTGTTTTAATTTTTAAATCAGAATTTTTAATTAGGTAAATCATTTTTAATGTTTAGCACGACACTGACATTTTTAGTTTTGAATACCATTAATTTGTAGAACATTAAGTTTTCAACCAAATTTATTTTCTGATATTTTTTAAGCTTGGTTTAGAAGATAAATGGGGGGGGTGTTTTTTGACATTTGCGACTTTACTCTGCATAGAAAATGAGCACACTAAAGTTGCTGTAATGCTCTGATTGGTTAATTGCCTTCTATAGAGATCATTTTTTGTAAAAAGTAATGTGTAAATTTTAAAAAACAACGAACTGATATTCTCCCAAACTATTATTTACGAATCACTCTGTATATCATTGTTTTAATGAAAATATTATCCGTAGCATTACGGCACTATTTCAAAAGGATTTTGTTGTGTTGAACATTGTTAATCCATGCGTAACAAATGCGAATTATTTGTATTTAAAATAAAGGGTGTTTTGTGCTCAATAGCATTTAGGCGCCGGAGTATAATTTATAAAACATTTTTGTTTCAAATTAACAATATCCGAGTTCCTTTACGAGCAAATAATTATTTAAAAAAATCCCAAGCAGCATTTTTGGTTTCCAAAACCATTGCAAATTGGTGATAACTTTAAATTAGTTAAGTATACTAAATAGCTACTTTAATTTTTACTTAAAAGTAATTCTAACTTTTAAATAGCAATATTTTGTAACAGAAACTTCATTCTTTCCTTAAATGGTTACTATAAAGTAATAAACATTTAAGTAGGACTTGGTTGCCCCCAAGAAGACTTTGCAACTTTAAAAAAGGTGTTATAAGTAAAAAAAACTTTCAAGTAAATTTAATATTTGTAGCAGTTACTTTCAGTTGCTACCTAAAGATTACATTATAATTATTTTTACTTTGTAGTCCCTTTACAAGTTAAAATCTCGAAACTGGAACATGAGTTAAAAACTACAAAGTTAATAGCTTAAAAGTTATTATTTTAGTATTTGGAACGTTTATGGTACCAACCAAAACTACCGTAAAGTAAATTAAGGTGGAAAAAAACTACTTCAAAGGAAAATGCTTCCTATCGGCCATTTTTTACTGTACAGTACCACGTGGTAATGAATATAATAAATTATTTTAATTGTTTGTAAATGGTTGTTTACTTTTTAATAAATAGTAATTTTGTTGGTAATAGACGGTATTAATAATTAAATAAAAAATTTATAATAAATATTAAGATTTCTTTATTCATAAACATTATTAAATAAATAATTTGTGTATACTTAAATATTGATGAAGCGCATTTATTTTACAAAAACTAAATTTATAAGTTCAACAGTAAAATTTAAAGGGTTTATAAATTTACCTGCCTAATTAAACATTATGTTGTTATTCTGGAAGTTATAAACTACCAGTAGGTACATATTTAATAAACGACGACATTGAAAAGCCAAGTCCGTAGTGGTTCCATTTAAAAATGAGGGATAGTAATATAAGTTTGACAAAGACAGTTAATACAGAAGTAAAAACAAATAAATAAAAGTAATTATAACGCTCTAGCAACGATATTGAAACGTTCTAGTAACGAAGCAGCTACGTTCCAAATAGTAGCAGGGTTTATAGCTAGTGACATATGTGCAACCTTTTTGGAACTCATTAATTGTTCCCCACTTTAGTCGTAACTTAGTAATGAAAGAGTAATATAAAGAGACCGGCGACTGTAGCAAAACACTTTAAAGTTTCTTCCATATACGTAACAAATACTTTGGATGGTTTAATTAGAAAAGAAGAAATTGTTCCTGTTAAATTAAGAATAGGACGTGGTTTGGTTAA